GTTTCCAGCCTGGGCCGGCCCCCGGCCCGAGCACCCCCTGGCCCCGCCGGCCCCCGGACTCCCGGCCGAGCATCCCCGGCCCGCTCAGCATCCCCCGGCCCGCTCAGCACCCCCCGGACTCCCAGCCGAGCACCCCCTGGCCCCGCCGGCTCTCGGCGCTCCCGGTCCCCGGCAGCGCTGGCCGGCGCTCGGACCCGCCGGCCCCGGTCCCCCGGCAGCGCCGGCCCCCGGCAGCGCCGGCGCTCGGTGCCCCCGGCTCCCCGGCAGCGCCGGCACTCTGCCCCACCGGCCCCCGGTCCCCCGGCAGCGCCAGCGCTCTGCCCCGCCGGCGCTGGGCACCCCCGGCCCAGCACCGCAGCCCGCATGTCCTGATCTTCCCGGACATGTCCGGCTTTTGGGGATTTCCCCCCGGACGGGGATTTGGAGCCCAAAAAGCCGGATATGTCCGGGAAAATCCGGACGTATGGTAACCCTACTTAAGCCCAAATCCTAAGGCACTTAGAGCAAGATTTTCAAATGTGTCCAAGTCACACAGGCAAAACTAAGAACATTTTTAAAGTTTACATCCAAAAAAAGAAATAGAACTAAGGCATCTTAAATAATAAAACTTAAGTAAGGAGAAAAATTTGCTAAAAAGGACAACTTTATAATCCAATTTCTTTTTACAGTACCCTGTTCCAGAAGGGCAGCCAACCCTGTGTGTCATTTTTTAAGCTAGCTCTTTTTTCCATGGCTAAAATTCTATCCAAGGTTTTTTCTGCCTTTAGGGAGAAGTCTACTAATAGATCATTTCTGCTTTGGTTAATATGAGTTAGCTCAATAAGTAAATGCTATTGGTTTTAGCCTATTTTAATAGAAATTGTGACCTAGGCCAGTGGAACAAACCCCTACTCTTTACAACATAGAGGGGATCGAATCAAGGAGAACTTTGCTGTCATAGAGAAGGTAGGGGCAGTACAATATTATTTCCCACTGGCTAGGATCTTCCTTTCTACTTTTTAAAGACAACTTTTGGTGTATGGTGGTCACACCTGAAGGAATGGATGAATCCTCGTATATATATAAAAAGCCACTGAAACTTTTCCTCTGGTATGTTCTATTCCCTTCTTGATAGATCCTTGAGTCCTAAACACATTTTTGAGCGCTGCAGTGCATTGAGTATAGCCGTCCATGAGTCAGGACTGCTAGATCTTGTCTCTGAGGGCTATGCCAGTTAAGTATAACTAATTGTATGTGTCATTTCAGAGCTTTATTTATGTCATTTCAACACAAACCTGACTATATAATAATGAGGATTACTGGCATAAAAAATGCTGAACCATTAAACAGACATTATGGGAAAATATTGTACTATGCATGTTAGAGAAATGAATATCAGTATTTCAAACTTCCTTCATCTGTTAAATTCTTCCCCGGCCCTTATTCTGGGTCTTCATCAGACAGTTTAAAGGCCAGGCTCACAGAGCTAGAATTTGGCAAGTTAAGAACTAATCATCAGAGTGGTACTCAAGTAGGAGATTTCACACCTTACTTTGCATTTCTCTGCACTGAATTTCATCTGCCATCAAGTTGCCCAATAACCTATTTTTGGCAGCTCCTTCTTGAGTTCCTCAATCCTTGACAGCTTTCACTACACACTAGAGAGGCAATGTGGATGAATAATATCTTCAGGAAGAAATACTCTGTGTGGCTCAAAAGCTTGTCTCTTTCACCAACAGAAATTGGTCCAATAAAAGATATTACCTCACCCACCTTGTCTCTCTAATATCCTGGGACCAACACAACTACAACTACACTGCATTCACAACCTACAGACATTTTGTCTGAGTGGCCACTGGATGTCACTGTTTCTCCTCTGAAATACAGCTGCAAGGGCACATTTATCTGGCTCCAAATAATGAAGTTGGGGTGCTTAAAGACAGGGCTGAATGAACCAATAGGCCCAGGCCTAGCACACAATTTTGAGGCTTCCTCTACCCCGATATAGAAAGAGCAGCCTCTACACTGACTGCAATCACTAGGGTTGCCAACTTTCTAATCACATAAAACTGAACACCTTTGCCCTGCTCCCTGCCCCACCCCTACCCTCTCCACCCCCCTCCCTCCATCGCTTGCTTTCCCTCATCTTCACCGGGCTGGGGCAGAGGTTCGGGGTGTGGGCTCCGGCCAGGCAGCACTTACTTCAGGCAGCTCCCAGAAGCAGCTGGCATGGCTAAGCGGAGGAGCCAGGGGGCTCTGTGCACATGCCCCCAGGTGCCAACCCCGCAGCTCCTATTTGGCCACAGTTTCCTGGCCAATGGGAGTTACGGAACTGGCGCTCAGGGTGAGAGTGCGTGGAGCCCCCGGGGATGCCCCTGCACATAGGAACCAGACATGCCAGCCACTTCCGGGAGCTGCGCGAAGCCAGGGTAGGTAGGGAGCCTGCCTTAGCCCCACTGCACCGCCAACCGGACTTTTAGCGGCCCAGTCAGCAGAGCCAATAGGGTTCCTTTTTGACTGGGTGTTCCAGTCGAAAACAAGACACCTGGCAACCCTAGCAATCACCCCATTAGAGACGCAGGTGGGGAAGCAGAAGCAACGTGGCATAACTAGTAATCAGGAAGGCCCTGAGGAGCAGCATATGGTCAGCTGGCACACAGTTAGCAGCAGCTCTAACAGTGCTGGACAATGCACAAGATAAGCTGCAGCAGAATACTGACAGTGCACAGTAGAGACGTTGTTTGCCAGCTTGCGGGTGTGGGGGGACAGAGAAATGGGATGAAGAAGCAATACTCATGAAGACAAGAGGGGAGTGGATAGGAACTGCAGAACGGGCTGAGATGTTTCTGTGAAAAGAAAGTGTTGCAATAAGGTAGGAATGGTGTAACCCTAACATTTCTGAGCTGCTCCAGGTGAACCTTGTTAGCAGTGTGCTGTAATTAGAATTACAAATGCTGAGGGGTGGAAGCCAGAGCTTTAAAAGGAAAGTATTGGATGTTTGATCTATTTCCATTTTCCACATTCTTCACAATTTTCATCTTTCACTCCATAACCAAGTGTACTTTCAATAATAGCATCACTGCCCAAGGGTCATTTATTACCAATTTTAACTATAATTTATAGGCAAGGTTGATAGCATCACCTACTATTAAGGTTGCCCACCACTTCCATTTATAAGACCCTGTTTGTATTGTTTATAACTTTAACTGTTTTAAAACCTTGAATTTTCCACACTGTCTGCCTCAGGCTGAAGTTTTTTGGAAAATTTCAGCCAAAATGGATTAGCTGTTTCCAAGAATGAGGTGAAAGAATAATAATGGCGCCTGTGTAATCCGAATTTGGCCCCTTTGCACATATGCATTATGATTAGAGCTGGTTGGCAATTCTCTAGTGGAACAGTTTTCATCTTCCTCTGCCTGTGCAGGTTTAAACTAGTGTAAATGGTGATTACTGTATAAATTGAAGTCTTTAAACCAGGATCTGAGGACTTCAGTAACTCAGCCAGAGGTTATGGGTCTATTTCAAGAGTGGGTGGGTGAGGTTCTGTGGCCTGTAATGTGCAGGAGATCAGACTAGATGGGACCATCGTGATCTTCTGGCCTTCCAGTCTATGGGTCCATTGGAAAATGCTGATTCAGCAGAATTGAGACATTCTACAGGAATGTGTCTTATTTCCATCAAAATTATGAATGGAAGCCAGGAAGATTTCCGGTGGAAGCCTGTCTCATCTGCTTGCTCACTTCCAAGGGCTTCTAGGCCCCATGCCAGCCCACCTGGTAGGCTGCCAAGGTGCCAGAGCTCCCAGGCAGCCCACCTGGAGGGCTGCCACAGAGCTGGAGCTTCTAGTACTTGTAAGGTCCCCTATTCCTTACAGAGAATCTGAGCCCAAGGGTTTTTGTTTGTTTGTTTTTTTATTAAATTTCCCCTCCACCCCCTGCTTTGGTTCCTTTTTGGTGCATTCAGAATAATAAAAAACAAAAAAATATATAGTATGCAAATAAAATGCATAAACCCATTAAACAAGCAACACTTGTTACATCCTATATAGCCTGCTCCTGTTTTCACTGCAGTCAATGGGAGATTAGTCATAGATTTAACTGGGAGCAGAAACAGAACCAGCACTTCTGGGGCTGAGGTATCCAAGCATTACCCCAGTGCAAATAATAAAGCAATAAATAGTAATCCTGGTGAAGTTTAGCATCTGATACTAATGCAGTGAGAGGGGGCAATATTTTATTTCTTAAGGTTTTTCTGCATAAGTGATGAACTTATGGTAAACAATTATCGTGATGCAGAGAACAAGACATTGATGTTCCTACCCTCTGAACAGACCAAAGACAAAAATACAGAAGTGAGGAAAACAATTTTAAAGGCTAAACACTCTTCTTAGTTAAACTGGAATCAACTTGGAGTAATGCTATTGAAGCCACCTGAATTACTCAGAGTGGATACCCCTGTAACTGGGAACAAAATTTGGTCCTATAAATAAACTCACCATTCCATATCTCATCAAGTTAGCAGTGCAGTGTGCTATCTGAAAAGCCGTTTTACTCATCTAGTCTGGCCTTCTGAAATTCCCATCCAGACCCAAGTAAGATCTAAGGTCAAATTCATATCCTTCCTGGGATTTGGTCTTATGGGTACCTCAAATAAGAGCAAAAGGATGTAAACATTTAACCTCTAAGCCTAGTTTTTCTTAGGTTTTCCTGCACACCCTCCTGATCTTTTCCCACTTCTCTTATATGCTTGAGGTTTACAAGCTGCACCTGTCCCAGTGAGTCAGCAGGAGTTACTCCACAGCTTTATTCAAGGTTATAACTCAGGCCAACAGCATGGGTCAACAGCACTCAATCTCTGTGCAAGGTCAGAGATCCTGCCAGCCTGTTAGAGACATTTAGGGACAAATGCTTCCCTTGCTTATAGCTATGCAACCCCAGTAAACTTGACGGTGTAACCAGAATTTGGCATTAAGTAGGAGTTACAATTCCTTCTTATTTCCAGTCCCAGCTCTTTTTTCACTGCATCAAGGTGCTATGGACATAAAATAAATATTGTATTACTGAGGCCAAAATTTTCAAACCTAAAGTCAAGCACCTAAATAATAGCGACCTGGTTTTATGAGGTGCTGATCACCCACAACTCCTGAAGTAAAACTAAAGCAACTACCTGTTGGCATACACCGCACCATCATTGTTCACATATATCAAACACACATGCATGACATCTCTATTATACAATGACTAAAGCATGGTATAAAGTGCTGCCTATGTTAAACTGAGACTTAAGTAGGCTGCTAAGGGATCCAACTGGGTGAGTACTCAAAAGTTCAAATTGTTACATATTCTCCCACATGGGTGTTGCTGCCTGAAGAAGCTGGTACGTCAAGAAAAATACACCACAAACAACTACTGTCCCATGTAGCCGGTATGTGTCCCTTGACATGGCAGCGTTTCAGAGGAGAAGCATAGCTTCCAAGAGCAGATGCGGAAATGGAGAACAGTAGTGAAAGGGCTAAGATTTGGATAAAGTTCTGGCTTGGGGATACATCCTGAAAGCAACATATTAGCTTTTCTTTGCAATTAGATTCCCATAACTCCAGTATGTTTGGGTCAGAGGCTGTCTTTGAAGTCAGTTTCCTACCATGCTGTTGATTAAGATATATTTGGTTTGCAAGGTCTCTAATATGAAACACCTCTATAAACATGGTATTACAGGGCATCTTTAAACAGATTGCTGAATGTCTTTCTTAGCTTAGATTTGCCTGGACTTAGATGCACAGAAAGTATGGTTGTGTTCAGCATTTCATAGGCCACAAAGCTGGCTAACCGTGTTCTGACAGTCATCAGCCACATGGTGTATCCGATATGCTTATGGTCATGTGGTTTTATGAGGTTTGTAGCATTTTCTGTACAGATACCACCTGAAAACATCATATCATGCTCAGATGTGGCAACTCTTCCCTGAGGGTTATTATTTACATGTTAGAAAAATTATTTCGAAATACCGTCAACTCCATCTCCTCCCACCAATGATATCTAAGTGTTGCAATACCTAAGTATTTACTAACTTTTTTTTTCTACACTGACTTTGCAGAAACCAAAGCAGACAATGTGACAACATAGTTTATTATAGTCTGAATGGTAAAAAAATACCACCATTGGAAAGTCTGGAAATAATCAAGAGAGAGTATGATCACTCGCCATCAGTAACATCTGCATGGGATCTCAGATTTTAAGGACTCCCTAACTCTTTATATAGTTGACACTCCTTATTAGAAGTGGCAAATAATTTGTACTACAGTACAAATGACTACAGTAATTTATTTGATGGATGTTGACAAATTGTCCATGAACAGATTGTGATTTACTCCAATTTCATTGTTTGGAATTATTTGTCACATAATTTCAGCAAATACTTGAATTTCTTTACATTGTTTGCAAGGCAGTTGTATTTGCAATTCAAGCTACACACACAGGTCATGTGGTATGTTTATGTTCCCTTGATTGGAGTAATTCAGATTCAGGTTTCTGGTGAGAATAACTGCAAATACAAATTTGAAATTAATATTATGTGAATACTAATATTAGGTGATCCCGGCAATTACAGACCGGTAAGTCTAACGTCAGTACCGGGCAAATTAGTCGAAACAATAGTTAAGAATAAAATTG